CTAGCACCATTCTAACTAACAGAAACCTGGTTAAGACGATATTCAGAGGTTGAAGAACGATAAACGAGTAATCGGTAAACGTTTGAGAACGAAGTACGTTCCGGAAAATATATTGTATAAACGGCAATATCGGCTTAATAGGGGTCTTACTGAAGTGCGGAGAATGCCAAATTTTTGTAATCATGAGATGAAGCTCTTGCTCAGTATTACATGCGGAATGTGATAACCCTGTGATCTGAATATTTTGTATCGAAGACTATGGGGGACTATTCTCAACACCCGTCAGTAGTATCTCCTACGGACCTCCAGCTCTCACTGTAGAGTCTGCAGGGCCGAGATTGAGTAACAAAGTCCTCACTTCGATGAGGATTTCCAATCGCTTTCGCGGTCTGTATCGTCTTCATCTCTCAACACATTCCCCTATCACCATTATCATGAAGCTAACCACGATCAGATCAGATGGTAGGGTCGGAGTCCTGCTCATCACCAGCCCTTGATTATGGAGGAGATGCCATCCGATGAGTTTCCGGAGCGTACCCGACACCCGATACGGAGATGGTGGATTGGATCAAGTCGGCCTCGACTATTACAAAGAAGGGAGATGTAGATGAATATGCGCACCTCATGTGGTCCCGGTGTCTAGGCCTCGCCTGGCTGGGGCTGCAGGTTTTTTGAGACTTTTTTCCCGCGCACGCAGTCTCCATTGCTACCATTTCATCTTCTTGGGTAGTGGGTTCCGTGGAAAAGATGGCCGAATTCCACAGGTAAATACTGAGCTGAATGGCTATTCATCACGGGCAATATATCAATGATCTTTTCAGAAACATGAGAGGCAAGGAGGACTGCACAAGGTGTGGCCTAGGTCAGAGAGGAGCCCAATGTGCTAGATAGTCATAGACTCAAGTAGTACAATAAACACACATACACCTATCGAAGACTTTGCGTACTTGATAGAGATTAGAGTTCTCCTGTATATACGATTGAGGTATGGTTCCGGGTTTTAATCCAATATAGTTGACATTCAGGCTAGATGGTGCAGTGGTACACCATCCGGGCCGATCTCCCAAGTAGATACTGGGTAGCTTAAACCCCTACCCCGTTCGAGACAGGAAAATGCTGGTTCGAATCCAGTCAGACTTACACACAACTCTTCCTCGCGGTGATGTTGTACTTGTGGGATGATGAAAGCACACTCGGATAGCCACAGGTTTTTCACGCTTTTCCCTGTGGTGGGTATGTACGGAAGAGGTCAAAAGCCGTAAGGGTTAACCTCGAGTTGTATCTGCAAATGAAATCTAAGAGTGAGTGTTCAAAACGTCAAATTGAGTCTTCCTGCTCAAAGTACATATCTTCCGAAAAAACTGCATGGGCCCCATGGCGCTAAATCAGGATAATTGAAAAATATATGTATATTGTAAGCAGACCTATGTTAGTCTGGGTTTTCGCGCCAGTCCAAAAGCGAAAGTAAGATCTACGCGCACAGATGTTTGGCTACTGGCAATACTCAAGGGAGCGCACAAGGGGATACTCACACAATATAGTCCTAGGCTCGACTCGTAGTAGTAGATAATTCTATACCTTCACTCTTACATTCTTGACTATTCACGTGACATTTACACGAAGCCCCTCTAAGTTTTACATATATATATACACCTAACATCCTAGCCAAACATCAGCTCCACAAATAATACATGGCAACAAAATTGCCCATCACATCAGTTTACAAACGCAAAATATTGAGAAACTCGAAATTCCCTTCACTTTTCCCCTCGCCATCGGCTAGCGATAATTTATAAATTGTGTGCCGCCGTAGGCTACCGAGATGCCTCGACTGCGTTATCCCCAAATCCCAGTGATGGGAAGGTCGAAGAAGGCTCCAAGACAGCGACAAATGTTAGATCACATCCTCAATATTTCTGATAGGGCATTTCAGACTAATAGCAAAGGGTCTTTCAGCTTCAATACAAGGATAGTCAGTCATCAACAGGGTGGCGATGCAGCCTTCAGAATTTCTAAATATCTTTTCAGAATACAAAGATATACAACTACTGCTCCCAAACTCACTCTCCAGGCCAAAACTAGAGCGCCAATAAAGGCGCCATGGGAAGTATAACGACACAAGGTACGTTGTGTCATCTAGATTTTATGTTGCTGGAAGCCTAGGAACGCCTGAAGGCGCAAATTACTACGCAAATTATTGCACAAATCTCTATCTGCTCGACAGCTATTAGCGGAGTCGAAGAAGTATAAGCATCACTCTCGGGCGATGAAAACAGAGGCTTTGACCATTCAGTGAAAGTCTATTTACGAGAGTTAAGTGTCCAGTTCGCGGATGCGGGCCTCGGCACAGCACCACAAATTCTTCCTCCGTGCCCAGCAAATCCTCCTCGGAGGTTTCATGAGCGCAGGAGCCGACATCCTCCCGCCACCCCAATCCAGCCAGCAGAAAGTACCCAATCTTCAATGTCACAAAGCTGACTACGCCAAATTGTAATTCCGATACCTCAAGCTGCAGCGACCCAATTAGAGAAAGATATTTGGAAGACTATGGTTAGCAATCGACTCTTTTTACGCCTTGGTTTGAATCACAAATGACGTGAGCTATCCCCATTGGCACCCACAGATTTAATCTCGATTCATCAGTGAGAGCCTGATTTGCCATTTTGGCGAAGAACGATGAAAGAAGACAAGGCTTCCTAGACGCCTCTTTGAGTCTGGCGAATATGAACGCCAAATTTAAACAATCTCTGAACTTGGTCGCTGCCTGGATCGCCACAGTAGCAGTGACAACTAGCATGCTAGGCTGTCAAGTCACTATCACTGTTGAAGTAGCCACTGAGGAAATCTTTCGGATGACTTTTTCTGCTCTAATTCAGGTGCGCCACAATAGAAATAGCATGTAATCTTTCCTCGAGAGCCCACTCCTCATTTGGACTTTTGCATTCTCGATGAGTCTAGTATGACCACTATTCTCAAGCTACAATTTCAAACTGAGCAGTGTCGACGCTTTCTCGGCCACCACGGCACTCATGGCTGCTCCTGCGCGCCAGCACGCGGTAAGTGTGATACAAAATTTTACTCTATTGCGCTCTGCAAAGCCAACACAAAGTGTCACAACTGGGGCGTTTGACATCGATCTGACTGTCTAAACTTCTTGGCTCGATCGGCCTAATCTGGCTCAGTGACGGAGAAATTTTTGAATACACGATAGATCGGCAAACGAGAGTTCGCTGCAGTGGCCCAAGCAAAGGCTGCTACGAGGAGTCCCACCTATTTCTTTCAGCGGAGATTGATTAATTTTTCATTTGGGAAGGATAAATGGTGTAGGAATGTATAAAAAGCGCACTGTTTCAATCCAATATGAGTGAATCTTCAGTTTTTAACAGTTGTTTTGGCTTTCTGTTTCAACCTGCTGCAATTTTGGTACCTATTCATGCGGTCAGAATCAGTTGGACCTGTAAGTAGAGATCCCAACCGCCTCCACCGGTCTTGAACTCTTAGTTGACTTTGAGCTTTAGCTTCGGACCTAAAAATTACGAAAAGTGTTGGAAGTATCGCGCAATGAAATGGGCGCAATCTTTATGGAACGAGAGTAGAAGTTGACTGAAAGAGTGTCATGTTTGGATCACAGCTAAAAGTGTGGGAAGTGTGCGCTACAAGTACAAGTGTATGAAGAAAAAGCCACCATAACTTTGCAGTGGTACTCGCAAACGAAATCCGAGGCATGAGTGCTCTTCTTTTAAATTGAGACATATATTATACAACTCTCTGAGATTTTGTCATAGTTAGATAGCTGCATACGCAGTTAAAATCTGATGCAAAAAAAAGGTACAAGTAAGTGACACATAGCCTAAGCCGCAGCATAAACGAATGTAGCACCATTTAGGCAGAGAAAACCCCCAATAACCTCCTTGTGGCCACGCCATACAGCCGCTCATCTATCCAGTAGTTAGCCTGAAGCGCTACCACATTATCCACTCCAACCTCTCTAATACACACAAGATTGTGTCGAGAACCTAGACGAAATGGAGGGCCCGTACGTCCACAACACTCCGTGTCTCCATTTTCAACAAAAAGATAGTCTTACAGGTCGATTTATCTAATACAAGCCCGTTTTCGCCCCGAATAGCCTTTGTTAAAGTTCGAAAATATGGTCAATTTAAGATGTATAGCAGCCAGAATAATGGCAACCTCACTGGTTTTAAGGCATTCCTATTGAAATCAGGACTTCATGGAAAGACAAAGCTACGCTCCTAACGCGTTTGAAAGGACTAGCAAGTAGGGGGATTTGGGCTCATGTGTGCTAATGAATCTCCTTTTACCCCTCAATAGCCTCTTCTCAACTCCTTTTCGTATTTGGAACTCAGGACAAGTCGAATGTCAGAGCAGAACAAAAAAAGTCTATCTGTTGAAAGTGTACAACGTAAATCAACCTAGCTTGACCTCTCTGTACTGTAGAATTGCGGAAAATTGAAGCCCTTAAATCTGGTATGTTTATTCAATTATTGGTCCTGCAAACTCTCAGGCGGCAGCTGAAGATTTGTTGGGGACGCTGCTGCCAGATGCCGAGTCCTTTTTGCTCCATTTCATTGTAAATCTTCTCAAATCCTATGATCCTATCATTCCTATATCCTCAAATTCTGGACCCATCCCCGAATCTGCTCGCCCCTCTCCCCTCTAATACTGCTGCGCGCAGCTAATCCCGTGTAGCATGACTCGTAACACCTCAAAGAGATGAGACCCGTGAGAATATACTACGGTGCGCCATAATTGAAAAGAGTTCTTTTACTAAAGTCTTCTGGCAGAATTCGGACTCCCACACCCTACATCTACTATCTCTTTTTATTTCAAAATCGATTTGTCAAACTACGTTCTAAAAATCTGAGCTAATATCGCCAAAAGTTTTTGGCGAATGAATGTTTTGATCACCTCTTGCTTCACAGGTCACTTGGCAAAGCTTACTAACAAGACACGGCCATATTCTAGAAATTCTTTCGACAATGCGATGTGTTTACGTACTTCTCTTGTGGCCAATGAAACATTTGTCGCACATGAAGCGCTTGGTAGTTGTTGGCAGTGATTTGAAATATTCACACTATGGAGTTTACAATCCCGAGTCTGGGAGTCAGTTTCCGCAGATTGAAGATGAACATGATATTACAATGACTAGGAACCAGGTCGGCGAGCCTGGTACATATGTCAGGGCTTACTGCTCATTCAGCCTAAAAGAGAGAAGTATTGTCGAGATAATTACTTCAAGCCTCAAACCTGTGACGGCTAATTCTCATCGAGGTTTTGGCGTTACTCATCAGGCAGAAATGGATTGCCTGAAGAAAATTAATGAAGTGCTCACAACGCACGCCGACGAATCACCCCTATCCCTCCGGGAAATACAGGGAAATAGGCAATGCCCGGATGGCGTAATAGCCAGTCTGGCCTTTCAGGACCTTCTGTCCATTGTCGGAGAATATCGCTACTTTTCTCCCTTGGGTCGCGGCGAGGGTATCAAGGTAAATGCTGATGCGCCGCTAGTAATGGCAAGTGTGATATCGCCCGACCGATTCGTTGGAGAAGAGAAGCGCAAAACCGAACAGACTGCACTCGCCTGGTACGTCGGTCATCTATTCGTCTTTGAGCGCCATGAGACGCTGTGGCGGCCCAAGACGAAGGTCGGAGAGCAAGTGTGGCAGGGACGCGACCTCGAAATGAAACTGCTCAATCGCTTCGATCAGCCTCAACGGTTCAAGAAATTCGTCGACACGATCCGTGCTCAGGTGGAAATGTCAGGTCTATGTAATTTGCTGCACACGTGTGACTTTCGTAAAGTTGCTGGTATTAAGATGGCCACATTCGCTGCTCTTCCAGTTATCGACTTAGGAATGCTTCCAGCTATTACGCCTGATGGTGCCCTGGGCTAGATTTGAATTTTAGAGGCAGCGGGGCGAGAGAGCTAGGAAAGTTGAGCGATAATTAGTGCTGTCCGAATTGAAGCCTGCAAGACTCGAGTCTAGTCATGCGAGCTTGTTAAACTGGACATTCTGGGCAGTGTCTGAATACCTCAATTTGGGACTGTAGACAACAAATCCAAATTCAAGAGATCCATCGACTCTCACCTAGATATCTACTGATCTCAGGTTTCGTCTTATTGCGGAGCAGGTATTCTGAATCTTTTTCTCCCCATTATAAGCCTGCATAGGCCGTTACAAACTCCAACTGATCTATCTATCGAACGCTGCTTCTCTCTGTCAAATATTCAAGGCATCGTGCATCAGTAACTAGAGCACTCAAATTAAATCTTGAGGAGAGGAATGGTGGGCGAATCAGAACAACAAAGGCAAATCGAGGGCTCTTTACAAGGAGGCATGAAGAGCGACAGGGCGCGGTCCCTAATGCGAGAAAATGGGCTGGTATTACTTGCTATTATTTCAAGCTGGCAAATGCTTCTATCTCTATATATAATGTGTCGGCGTATGGGAGGCTCTTACTTTATGCCACGTCTTCTTCAATACATTTATTACTCATCTCTTATTTGGGAAGACCAGCATGTTGCTTTTACCGCAATGATTAGCCTATTCAACTCTTGCTAGAGAAGACCTGCCATTCATTTGACCCCTTAACAATCTATAACCTTACTACCTAAATCATGAACTAGGTCCAATCACTCATCCTGTGGAACGATTTCCAAACCTCGTCCCTGAGACAATGTCTGGAGGACGTGTGTAAACGCAGGAGTGCCTAGTATAGAATCTGCGACTATGTTGGAGTGTGTTGGTTCTCTTTTCTTACAGACCAGAGTATTTGTGAATCGGACAGTGGACTTCTTGCCGTACCTTCTTCATGACTCCATCCAGCGATAAGACCCCTGCAGACGCTCAATTCAGTGAACGATCCAGACTGATACTGATCTACCCGTATTCACGCTCACTAGCCCGCCGAGGAATGGAAGCTTGCAGCTATAGAGCTAGTAGAGAAGATCTCTAGAGGCTACCTGGTATAGGGATCTTCCATTACCGACGTTGGGAGGAAATCTGCAGACTTCTCTACCCATCTGCGCCGATTGGAGATGTCGGGTAACTGGATGCAGTCGGATTGTGTATTTCTAGAGCTGCTTCTACTTGTATCCGAGATCACTCCAAATTTGGCCGGGGACAACGAGAAGCTGGACTTTTGTCTAAAAAAGAGCTGAATTCCGTGACGAAAAGTATTGAAAGACTCGAGCGGCAGAGACTGCTTTTACAACATACTCGCAGGCCTACTCTCAAGGAGCTTACTACTAACGTTCCTTAGGGCACGAAGGGATATTGAGTATGATTGTGGGACAGCGCTGAAGTGGTCTTCTATGAGGAAGAGAAATGTTAAGTGGTACAATATGTGTACACAATGGAAGAAGTTGCGGGAAGAGAAGGCTCTCCCACACCTGCCAGACTATATACAGGATAGTGTTAAGGAAATAATGACCCCTCAGTCATTGAGGTTGTAGAGCGCCTTGATTCAAGCAACTACCGAAGTGAAACTAAGTACAGAATTTGTAGTCACGTGTGTACCAACAACGTGGCCTACTTGATAGCCCCAATTATTCTAATTTCTAACAGATAGTGCTAATAGCGCTTTCAGGACGGAGAACAATGTGGTCACTTCTTGCTCACTATCAGACCACCTTAACCTTTCCAGACCCTTACATCCAAACTCACTGCCTAGCCTACCAACATTAAGCACCATCTTCATAGTCTATCGTCGCATAGTTTGTGTCGAAAATAAACCAAATTAATTACCCCCTGCTACTTGTCCATGAAACCTACCGTGCCTGTCTGGTTGGCTTCATGGTTCGTGTCAGAAGAGTAGCCGTGTTGACGGGTTTAGTCCGGATTCCGGGATGACGGGAGGCGGCCCTCCATGATTTTGCACGTTCTCCCAGCTTTCACGGACCCGCGAACTGCTATCGTCTCGTTGTCCGAGGGATGATCAAATGAAGACTTGAGAGGTAGAGTCGGAAGAGAGATAATAATTTGTTAGGTACCTCAGAGCCTGACCTGTGATGGGCTAAATGTATTTGAGACTGAAGAAAAATATAACTCAGTAAAAACAACATTATTCCCATTTCTCCCGGAAGTCTAAGACTCCATACACTGATATGATGTTATTATTATCGTGACCGGCTACTACCACAGTACCCAGAAGACATGGCACGGGTGTTATGCTCAGCTATGTAGTATGGTAGATCTAGTAGCTGGTGCATAGGTAGCTATTATGGCAGCATGGCATCATAGCACATGAAGAAGATCCAGTCTCTACATAACGACATTACAAGTAGGAATGTGTGCAGTATGAGAGATGGGTTGTTGATATAGGATAAATGGCATGGCTGCTCAGTTGGTTGCACACTTTGGTGAGCTGCATACTGGTAACGTGATTGGTCTACAGGGAAACAAACTAGGGGATAAGGGACGAGCTTCCCTCAATCTGTAACATAATAATTATCATAGTCACTTCACTTCTGCACATTAATGAAGACATCTCTCCACATACTGTCTTAGCTGTTCCAGCGCAAGTGTACATTCCCATTTCTTTTTTTTTTTTTTTTTTTTTTTTAAATCATATTGTATTCAGCTATCTAGCTATGACAATTTAAATTGGTAGCTTCTCTTTGATTGAGCGTGTCATCCTTAGTGCAGGGGCCATGCTAATCTTCTCTGTATCGTTTCAAATTGACCAAATGCCCGTAGGCACATTCCCATTTCATATACCAAGTAAAACAACGAGTAGTTTAGATCTATAGGACTCTTCGCTACCTATATTTTTGTCTCATAGAAACTAGGAACGCAAAACAATAAAAGAGAAATAATCAATTAAATCACCATTTCTAAGGTGCTAGAGCCTTGCCCTGCACTACACCTTAATTCTCGTACCACACCAATCGATCCCAAGAAGCATTACAATCGATCTTTTAACCGCCTGTTTATGATTCATTCTTGCTGCAACATTTTGTTACGGTTAAGAAGCGCCAGGACATCTGCCATCATTCTTGCCCTATCATATCCCTTGTAGTCGGTCGGGTTTCCTTCGTTTCCGTCCGCCATTTCTAGAAAACTATATACATTGATCATGATTGATATGATCTCTTGAACTCTAAATGTTGACATGCGCAAAGAATAGAATAACTTGCGGATATAAATAGAGAATAAAAGCACTAAACGAAGCAAATAACCCACGTACGTTTGAACAGCCCCTATTTTTAACCAGAGACAACTACCCTTCCGAATTCTTCGGTGGTTATTGATAGACTTCGAAATTTTGGGACAAAGGAGAAGATATATTTTCCGAGCTAAAGGTAACCTCAGCATATAGGTGTACAGAACCTATATATGCCATCTGGATAGATTGAGAAAGATCAATTATAATTACAAAAATTACAGCTATATTTTGTCCAGAAAACTATGGGTTAGTCATAACACTGTCAGGTATTCACAGTTTTCTGAAAGCTTTTTATTTCTAAAAAAAATGATTAATCGGAATCTTCGTCCCGATCGCGACGTGAGCCTGATTGCCTTCTCTCCTCTCTAATACTCTTCATCATATCCTCCTGAAATTCTAGACCACTACGGAGCTGATATGACGTAGGACCTTTATCGGCCCCAAGTAACTTTGGAATACCCTCTACATTCTGAAGGGCTCGAAACTTATCGATCTCGGATGGCCCATCAGTCACAGTTCTCCACGCAAACTTCACCATGCATGACCCGTCGATTGCATTGTAGCAAACGTTACCGTGCATATCATTGGGTAGCCGCATTTTAATTGGCGTAGGATCAACTTCTAACTCTTTATCCTCTCCAGTGTACGCATCTTTAAACGCGACAAATGTTCGTTCACCCCTACGTATCAGACCTTGATCAAGGCCAAGGTCTGAATCATTCATATATGTGTAGCCTGAAATCACACGAATGAAACGTTCAGGCTCCTTCGTTATATTGAAAGTATCAGAGCTAAAGCTACCGGAATGATCAAACACCCACAGTTGCATTTGTGTTCCACATAGAATAAATCCATGGACAAACTGGCGCAAATGCTGTGTCAATAGTATTTCTCGCATATAGACAGCGAGTCGCAGGTACATCCTGTTCCAGACTTTGGTTATGTCTAAGCTAGTCACCACGCCCACTACCAGCACGTCTTTCCAGTGGTGGAGCCGATCATCGGGCACGTGGCGAAACTTGGAGAAAATGTCCAGTTGCCATAGATTTTCATCCGATAGTTCCTTGGATGTCTTCTTCAATCGATTATATTTACACCGCGAGATATTTGGCAGCGCTGGCTCTGGGTTTCTTGGAGTCCCAGTTACAAGTTTGACTGGAGAGTCAGGAAGCTGGTCTAAAAAGTGGGTTTGAAGTGCTTCTAACCACACCCAGAAAGTAGTTTCGGTGCACATTTCTGGATATTGGGGTAACGTGTATCCGGAATGAGTCTGATTAAGAGCATTGAAGACAAGTGTGGATCGTTCCACCCATTCCCTATCTTCAAAGTACTTTTTCCAAAAGCCACCAACATTTTCAAATGTCGTCTCGCTCAATTCCTTTTTCATCCTCCTTTTCAAGAGTTTCCATTTATTACCTTCGCCCATCCAATCTTCATATCTACTGTCCTTCTTTTCGCCACTTTCCAGAATCAGTACCGAATATGCGGATAGTGGTATGAAGGGTGAACCATTAAAAGAGTGCATAATTATTTTTGATGGTAACTCTTTTGACCAAGAAACTTCACTGATAAGCTGAAAGATAATTCTCCAGATATCAACATCACTGCAGCCCTTGTAAATAGCTTCAACTAATGGATCAAAAAAAGAGATAGAAACTTTTTGGCATCGAAAACCGGAGTATAAAGAAATAAGTTGTCCGTCAAGGGGTTGGTCATAGTCTAATCTGATATCTTTTTCGATGGCATAGTTGGTTAAATCGACAAGTAGTTTATTGATCCCTATGTATTTGTAACTATTGTTATATTGTTTTTGTCTGTAACTACGCGGGTCTTTGTCATCTTGCTCCTTAACTGTAGTCAAAAAAGATCTGAGAATCGGTCTTAGAGGGTTCTGGGTAATATAGTCCAGGTCCCTCCTGGAAATAACCATCCTTTGTATTGTGGTGAGGTGATATATTTTTGTGTGATAGTGAGTGTAGGTTGTATCCTACGCAAACAATGAAAGGGAACAGAGCTAAATATGTGGAGTGATTAATTCCTGATTAATCACGTGCTAGGTAACTGTCGATCTTTCAAGAGTGGATCAGCAGCCCGAGACATGATTAACCTACTCCCAACTTTAGTGTCTCACAAGGACAGCATGCCGACCGGTAGGCGCGAAAAGTTCACAATTTGTGCAACCCCACAAAATTTATCATGCGCCCCACCAAGCACGAGAAGACAAAGTCATTACTTCCAACCTTTTACAACGAAGCTACCCTGGAGAATAAAGACTGAAAAACTGCCCGCCGTGTCCTTATAGCACATTGAGCTCTTCTTTGACCCAGGACACACCTTGTACATTGCTTCCTGTCTTTTATGTTCCTTGAAAGATAATTGATATATAGCTCGTGATGAATAGCCATTTAGCTCAATATTTACCCGTGAATTCGGCCATCTTCTCCACGGAACTTTCTACCCAAAAAAATTGAGTAATTAAATAAATGGTAGCAATGAAAACTGCGTGCGCGGGAAAAAGTCTCAAAAAACCTGCAGCCCAGCCAGTCGAGGCATAGACTCCTAGACCACATTTGGTGCGCATATTCATCTACATCTTCCTTCTTTGTAACAGTCGAGGCCAACTTGATCCAATCCATTATTTCCGTTTCGGGTGCTGCGTACGCTCCGGAAACTCATCGGATGGCTTTTTCTCCATGATTAAGCGTGGGTGATGAGCAGGGCTTCGACCCTACCATCTGATCTGATCGTGGTCAGCTTCGTGATAATGATGATAGGGGGTTGTGCTTAGGGATGAAGACGATTTAGACTGCGAAAGCGATTGGGAACCCTCATCAAAGTGAAGAGAAGCGTGTTACTCCATCTCGGCTCTGCAGACTCTACAGTTAGAACTGGGGCTTCATGGATAAACGTTGTGAAACTTAGGATATTATCTCATGGGTAATCCCATACTAAAGCACAGCTTGTCGTTAGATCGAGTTTCCAAACAAGTAGGACAGGTTCAGACAAAAATGCTCGTTTTAATGAAATTTTGGAGTAAAACTGTTCGAGACAGTCTATGGGCTGTTCTAATATTTGATTTACATATATACCCAGCGTGAAGTAGTATTCTTCTTCATGCAACGTCTTCTGTTTACAATGATACCTTCTACTCATATACTTATCTCTTCTCTAAGAAGACCGCTGTTCTTATAAAGACCTCGCCTGTTACTCACTGTACCTTTACCTTTTCCATGAAAACTATTCCTTACGCTACCTCTATAATTCTTCCCCATAGGAATTATCGCTACACTTCACAAACCTATCATATCGTACCCTACGGGACGCTGATCGTACAACTCCTTGAGATGGAGGTTTATAGAATGCACCTCTTGTCGTGAGGTTATGGATCGTAGAGGAATGCTGGAATGGTATAGGGAGGTGAAGGATATATGCCGAACAACGAAGCAGTTGAATAGAGCTTAAGGGTGAAGCTTGGTAGGGTGACACGAAGAGGGTATGAATAGACCTTCAGAGATATTCAGTAAATGTAATGAACTAAAATTGGAGTAACTACTGTAAGAGGTCTTACCTTCAGAGATATTCAGTAAATGTAATGAACTGAGGATTTCTGAAGGAGAAGAACACTACATATATATACAGGAATTAGTCCTACTGAGACGAATTTAGAAATAAGCCAGGATATGCGCCCATGTCCCAGTATGGCGACATTATCATGGTGATGGTATGTCTTGACCACCAGTAGACCCCCAAACTAGCTGAGTGTAAGACAGAATCATGCATATACCACAACTTCCAACATATCTTGTGTTAAGCGCCAAGACTAATTAATATTACAGAAAATAGATGTGGCGCAGTATTAAATGATACGAATAACGGAAACGAAAACGAGATAGTACATGACTAGTGTAACAGATGCAGGACTGTTAGAATTACAACACTTCCCCTCAGAACTGCGTCAAAATCCGTTGAGTAAGAATTTCGTGAGTTATTTTAGGCAAAGCCTTGGTAAATAGATCGGCCAAATTCTCAGAAGAAGGAACGTATTCAAGCTCGAAATCTTTACCGACATGATCCCGAATGAAATGGTATTGAATGTCGATGTGTTTTGAGCGTTGAGTTACTTTGTTATTTCCGGAGAGATCTATTGCTCCATTCGAGTCCGCGTGGAGGATGGCACCGTAGCTTTGCTGAAGTTCTTTGATAGCTCGGCAGAGCTAGATTAAATGGCGGGAAGATAGACAGATAGCCATATTTTCGGCCTCAACTGTAGAGAGGGCGACAGCTTTCTGTTTCTGAGAGCACCAGGATATAGAGGCTTCCCCTAGCCTGAAAACATATCCAGAATAAGACTTGCGATCATCAAGATTATTACCCCAAGATGCATCTGCATAGCCGTGAATCATAGAGTCATGCTTGCTAGGAAAGAAAAGCTTTTGGTGGATTGTGCCTTTGAGGTATCGAAGGACTCGTTTAGCGGCAGCGAGATGCGTTGGGCCGGGACAGGAAGAGAATTGAGAGAGGTGTGTAACCGGGAATGCGAGGTCAGGTCGTGTGCCAATATGTCCATACATCAGTGAGCCTACAAGAGATTGGTAAGTGCTGACATGGTCGATTTGATCCGCTGGGTCGACTCGTTGAAGGTGGCCGTTCGGTTCGAGTGGAGTGCCAACAGGATGACAATCTAGCATACCGAATCGTTTGAGGACTTTGAGAAAGTATGAATGTTGACTGAGCGAAATGCCTTGCGGTGTGATTTCTATTTCTATTCCAAGAATGTAATGGGCTTTTCCGAGGTCCGTACATTCAAATTCAGAATGAAGGAATTGACGGGTTCCATTAATAACTTTGGAGTCAGAACCAGAGATCAAAATGTCATCAACGTAGACAGCAACATAGACGGTGGTCTTGTTGTGGACGAAGACGCATGGGTCAAAAGAAGTTGGAACGAATCCATACTTGGTCAGGGCAGCTTTTAAAGTAAGATGCCAGACAAGGGGGGATTGTTTCAAACCGTAGATAAATTTTTGCAACTTATAAACCATATTAGATTCCTTAAACCCATCTGGAATCTCCATATAGATGTCGCGGTCTAATTTTCCGTATAGAAATGCTGATTTAACGTCCATTTGTACAACATCCTAATTATTGTGAGCAGCTAGGGCGAGTAGGAGACGTAGGGAATCAAAGCGTGCGACTGGTGCATAGGTTTCTTCGAAATCGGTGCCAGGAATTTGAGAGAATCCCTTGGCAACAACTCGAGCTTTAAATCTCTCGATGGAACCGTCTCCATTATGTTTGACTTTGAAAACCCAGCGTGATCCTACAATGGAGCGATCATTGGGCCTGGGAACAACTGTCCAGGTCTCGTTACGCCGAAGTGCGTTCATCTCTTCATCAATAGCTTCCTTCCATCTCTCAGCGTCATCAGCTGCCATAGCTTGCTTGTGAGTATTTGGCTCCATAGTAACTGCGTGTGCTTTAAAGTTTCCATATCGGTCAGGTTTTCGTCTATCCCGAGTGCTCCGACGAGGAGCAGCAGGAGTAATCTGCTGAATTTGTTTACCAGGCGGAGTGGAAACAGCAGGAGCATTCAGGGTGTTAGGAGAATCAAAATATCCACCAGGCATGCTATTAGCTTATGAAGAAGTTTGTAAATGGTGAGTCGATTTGGAGAGGGTACTTGATGGCAGTGGAAAATTCAAGTATATTTCAAACTATTTCGGGCTATGATTTCTTTAGGTTCAACATGATATTTTTGCCAGGATGGTCAAAGCTGGGATGGGATCCATGTAAGAGGAAAAAGAAGTTTCGTATCTCTGTTCTTGAATTAAAATTTGTTTTGAAGAACCAAAAGCCAAAAGCATCCATTTCTTTCTCTCCTCCATCACCTGTCGTCAATAATTTTGAGATTCGATCAAATTTCTCTCCGTTTTCAATTCACTTTCAGAAATTAAATTATTATTGACAGGGCTATAGCACTGGTGCTATGAAAAGAAGTGAATTATTTCACACTGTAGTCACGAAAATGTCGGAAAGTAGTTCAATTTGTTTTGCACTAAGCGTAGCGCATCTCTCAGTTGCTGAGTCATTATATTGATGACTAAGCCAATACCGCGAACTAGACGTTCGCATTGTTCACAAAAAAAAAGAGAAAACAATAATACATACCTCACTTTCGTACCTTTCATATTGCATTGTACTAACCATTTGTTTGCGTAAATAAGGGCCAATCGACAGAAACCGACACCTCTCGAGGTGAATTTTCTCGCATCCCCTTTTAGATTATACGTACTTAGTCATTATCTTTATCAGATAATCCTGCCTAACTACCTGATTTAATTGCCAAATATTATCAACTAAAACAACAGTTACCACCTTTGAGGTAAGGGTCGTACAAAACATTACGAGTGTTTGCCAAAAATTTTCTATCCGTACCTGATTGCAGGTTCCTTGTCTACTGACGAGAACTTACATGCCATTTGCGAGAGTTACTAAGCCTCTGTGAGGAGCTATAAAGATCGATGGTTCTTCTCGAGATATCATGTGAGCAAAGTATCCTGAGTCGGGAACCCAATGTAATTGTGAATAAAATGTCAAAGCTATGAAGGCTTTGTCGTTTTTGAGGTCGGCGAAAGAATTATCTTGTGAAGAGACTGCTGACTTCTTAACAGTGGAATTTGCCATCGTTTTTATTGAAACCTTTTCCTGTGCCCATTGCTTTGGTTATTTGTTTATTCAAGATAAATCTATAGTTTACAAAAATTGTTGTGTAAATGACCTAGACATGAGACACCATGTTTTTTTACACCAAGTGCATTCTTCTGCCTTTTGTTTTTATTTTTCATCTCCACAAACCAGTGAAAAATATCGAGGTCCCGCGAGGTATGCCCTGGGTATCAATTTAGGTATTGTTCATCTAACTAATTGATAATGTGAGAGATACTTTTTAATCCCACAGATAAATTTTGTTCGGATCAGGTCCTGATCAACGATGTCTAGCCTAATTGTGCTATATTTCAGGCTACTGTTGCAACAATTCTTTTTTTTTTGCATCAGATTTGAATTGCGTATGCAGCTATCTAGCTATGACACAATATCAAAGAAAAGTACAGAATAGATGATTCAACGTAAAGGAAGAGCACCCATGCCTCGGATTTCATTTGCAAGTACCACTGCGAAGTTATGGCAGCTTTTTCTTCACCCCAAGTTAGCCCTCATCCGTGAATACCCACCCAGGGGGATGTCTCAAAAACCCTGAGTTATGCAGACATGCCTCCATCATCTTTCAACTTTTCTCCGCGCGAAATGTGGTCTGAGGCGTGTCCTTCCAAAGTGGAGTAGGTGCCCAGGCTACTCAAACTATACAGGAGAACACTACGGAGAGCAAGACTGAACACCTGTACGCGGTGTCCTCTACGAACCTGGGAGTGAAATATTCTCCCAGAGCCAAGTTCAGTCAAATTTCGCAATATCAAAGAAGTTGGCCCACGAGGCAAAAAATTCAAATTACTCCCCCATGTCAATCTTTCACTCTTAAAGAGTTCGATTCTCATCTAAACTTCATCAAGTCTACAAGTACGACCTAGTACATCCTCATTCCAATGATCACACCTCTCGTCGACTTTCTCTGGCCTCAGTTGACCACCAAATACACGCATACGCCGATATTTATACCCGACGGAGGAAGCAAAGCGTGGCGCACAAATCTGGGAGATAGCTCTTTGGGATGGATGTGAGAGGGATCAGGACAAGTTCACAAGATGATGCAGAAGAAGGATACGTTTTCGACGGGCGTGAAATTTCGAATTTTGGCAAGGAGTTTTACGAATTGAGCCTTGTGCGCGCCAAGACTTCGCCTGCAAGAGTGCAGCTGACACTATAAACGCAGGCCAACGATGGATGATATTGTGATCTGCCTCCCGGCGGTGTTCTCTGGTATAGTTTGAGTAGCCTGGGCGCCTTCTCCACTTGGGAAGGAGACACCTCAGATCACATATCGCGCGGAGAAAAGTTGAAAGATGATGGAGGCATGTCTGGATAACTCAGGGTTTTTGAGATGTTCCCCTGGGTGGGTATTCACGGATGAGGGTTGACTTGGGGTGAAGAAAAAGCCACCATAACTTCGCAGTGGTACTTGCAAATGAGATCCGAGCCTGAGTGATCCTCCTGTAAATTAAGTCATCTTTTCTGTACTTTTCTTTGATATTGTGTCATAGCTAGATAGCTGCATACGCAATTAAAATCTGATGCAAAAAAAAAAAGGACACCACGCTGCAACAATTCATCGGGTCATAATCAGGGTTGTGCGTAGTTTCGGTTTGGTGTAGGTAATTGGATTAATACCTGAGCGTATCGCATAGTAAGCAGGTATGTGACACAAGTGGAAAAATTTCAGTTGAACCTCAACTCCAAAGCGATGATACGAATCAAGTTTTGTACGCTAGGTCTTGTATGGCTAGCGTGGACTGAAAATAGGAGACGTACCTGTAGATAAAGACGTTGTAGCTCTCTAATGGTTGGGACAAGTCTTCTACTAAACAATATCGGAAACTATCCTATCATCTCATTAAGCAATCTCATGAATCTATTCCCGTATCTGTTACAACAGACCAATATACTAAAATTACCTTTAAGACGATCAACAAATATGATCGCAGGCCTTTATTTGAGAAGAGTTAGGGTCCACAGCATTTTCTTTACTTAAAAAACGATCAACAATATTGTACGTGGAGAGAGGAAGAGGGCGAAAGAGACACATGGTCTCAGATTTTTCTGCTTAAAGTTAATGATGGCGATGGACTCGGAATATAATGAATCTAAACAGCGGGGGTGAATGTGAGAGAATTTGATTCGAATCAGGAAATATGGTCGTTGACATCATCTCCTTCCCTCTTCCGACCTTATCTCAAAATATTTTTTAAAAACTAAAAATGAAATAGTTGTCGTCTCATGGTCGAATCGTCTTTCAATAAACGCATGACGACTTGGGCATATTCTAGGTTTCAAAACACAGGCACTGAAAAAATCATGGAGATCTTCGGAGATTCCAGCGAGAAGTGTAGCGTGGGCTGCGTCGTTTCGTTTGTCGTACTTTTCTAGCCGCTTGTTCAAGTTCTCCATACTTTCACCCTTCACATGAGTGGGACGGGTTCCCTTATCAAAGCCATCATTCACCACAGAATAGTATAGAGCAATACGCAAAATGACAATTTAAGAGTTGCACCAACGACAGGAGTTGGACCGATCGATAAGAGCTGGAATGATTGAATTGATGATGCCGATCTGAATAGCGACAGAGCTGTGCACCTTTAACGATGTAAGCGTTGAACACACTTAGATGTACCGCAGGAATTTCATTGGGCTCGGGCTTATAGCCTATTGAATAACTATGTGGATCTGGAATCACACACCACTAAGATATAGGTGTAGAAGGCCGCTATGGCTTTAAGACTAGCACATTTCATAGCTTCTACTCTTTGGAATTTGATCGAGGAAAGAGCTTGAGAATATTCCTAATTAATATCAACGGAGTGAATTATATGGAGATTGTGTAAATTTCTTGTTGAATCATGCTAATTGTGTTTTCGTAGCGATGTATTCCACGATATCCATTACTGAAGGGTTTTGGCACACTAGTCGATGTTGCAGCGTATTTCCTAGTCTGATCAAGAGGGAAAAGATACTGGAGATCCTAGAGGCAGTAGATACTTGTCGAAATCATATGGGAAGTACTCATTCATACCAATCAGTGACTGAATGGGTCAATGATTTCTAATGGCCCGCATGCACATTAATCCAACATAGACATTTTTTGCAAGTCATGTTACTTCCACGATCACATCAGTTTAATCTCCTAAAATTTCCTGAGATATTGGATTGGTTAGCCTAAAGTTCTGATGCGTTCTAGCTGACGTAGTATTTATATCTATTTCAGACACTAAAAGATGAGGAGGGAGCTATAAAAAGTAATCCGCTACCGGCTTCTTGGCTGGCATTCCTCGAGAATCTTGGGGTGCGGCTTGGAAAATTTTGTAGCAGCGTGCTGGGCCCATAGGAATAGTGAGAGGCAGCACGCTCGAATCCAGATTGTCGCTAGTGCAGTTCCGACGGCCCCGATCACCATCTCCATTACTCCGGGCTATAATCCCATCACCAGTCTCGCTTTCATAGAGTTCCATAATGGCAGCAACGTTCCCGCACCGATAGCAGTAGTTGGGTGCAGACCAAACTGTGACTATGTTGCTTTCAAAGAGTTCCTTGAAACCTTCCATAACAAGCTGGTGCGCTCGAGCAATAAGAGAGAGATCGTTGACGTAGTTGAATCGTTTGACAATAGGTCCTCCAAATAAATAGCCAGCTCCTCGAGGCGAGTAGCCCCACCCTCCTATTTCATCTGGGTCTGACCAAAGAAGATCGCACATAGCTCCTTCATGTGGCACTTCTTGTTTTCGATCGATGAGTCGGATCTTATCTAGGGTGTCGATAAGCGGCGATAAGCCACCATGAACACAAAATACTGCCCCAGTTTCACTAGGCTTCGAGCCGCGAGAAAATTCAGGATACCCAGAAGATTCGGTGCCAGTGGAGGTATCAAAGTTGTTTACTGATCTGTTGCGAGGTACACTGTTGATTAGCTCTCCCATATCGTTAAGCACTTGGATCTCAATATCTATGTCTGAGTCACTTTGACTAGATAGATTGTTTGATTCGTTCGGTGGTGGTTCTCTCCTGGCGCTCGAGCCGATGGCATTTGAAGCACCCAGAACAATTGCTCCAATAGCCAGATAATCAAAGACCTCACAGCAGTACCTCCAAACATTTGCGCTCCCATACTTACGCAAACATTCATCGTAAAATCCATAAACGGTGGTGATTTGTCTTGATTCATGATTTCCGCGAATCAAAGTCATGCGATCGGGGTATCTGACTTTGAGGCATAAAAGGAGGAGGAATGATTCGAGTGAATAGAAGCCTCGGTCAACGAAGTCACCTGGATTGGTTAGTTGTGCACACTATTACCCCTATCAACTAACCCATAAATATATACTGCGTATCTGGAACGTCGCCACCAACTCGAAATAATTCCATCAAATCGTGGAATTGCCCATGAATGTCGCCGCATATCTGAAGTCGTCAGTTAACTCCCTGCGTTTGATTTTGAAAATTCGTACAGTCACTGGTGCCGTTACTGTTACAATATTCCCCTCTTCAATTAATATTTCTCTAGCTTTATGGCATATTTCGAAAACCTGAGCTTCAGGGATCGCCCTACATGCTCGCAGTTGAGTTATTGCTCTGTGAACGTAAGTACGAGTTTTTAGAATCAGATAGTATTGCTACCTATCAACGTCACTCATCTTGTTGTTTCATGCGCAGCAGTTGTTTTCCTTGAGGGTATATCAATCGAATTTGGCAATAAAGCCCTTTCGCGATGGGACGACAAAGATTGGCGAAGCTCCAAGCGCCATCAATACATTGGGTTGTAATAAATTCGGCGACGAAATCTGAAAGCCTGGTTATCTTATCCGGCTGGCGGGCGTCTAAGTGTGAGCACGCGTTGTCATCCAATATCTGAAGAAGGCTATTTGGGTGGCAGCCTTTGGGATTTAATAGATTTTAGCGCTAGACTTCTTTGAGCCTAATTTCAAAATCCTATTTTTGGCAATTTTTGTAAACCACGCATCATAGATAATGTGTCAAAACGTCGGTATTCTACCTGCGCGCCACAAAGGAACGACAAACTGTAAGTATCACCATGTACTGAGGTTCTGATGAACTGAAAATTTTACCAGAGGTCTTTAGAGGAGACAAACTACACACACTGGGCTCATTATGCCACCACATCTTCATCCTAGAAGCCAATTCACATCATCTCTCTTTGCGACCACATTATTTGCCAGCTTCTTTGTTGTTAGCATTCCTCACATACTTCCATGTCCTGCGCCAAGAATAGCATATGCAGATGATGGAACAAGACCATGCAAACAAGAATGGAAAAATATCAATGACAAGAAAAATGAAACGGCCATTGATATAGGAAGTACGGCACTTATGTCTCAATCAGAGAAGAGAGCATGTCCCATCCCAAAGCCTGGCGGCATTATAGGTGAAATACTGGGATTTAAATTGAACGAGAAAACCTCGACAGACCAGGGCGGAAAAAAATAACCTCCGTAATTTACGACACTTTCAGAGGCAAGATTCGGATGGTTCAAATACAGTAAATTCAGCATATATAAGTTCCCTGATTTTACGACAACGGCCATCTATGTTTAAAGACCAAATCAGGTAAGTTCTGCCTCCTGCTACGGTAGTTACTTAGTTCAACTTCCAAGCTCTTGTTCCTTCTTTTGTCACTGAAAAAGTTCTATACATGGGCTAACAATTTCAAGCCTGCTGCAGACTAGGAAATGAAAACTATTTAAAAGTACCAAGCGGAGTAGATACAATTATTTCTAGACAAAACTGCTTGGTCGCAACTATCCACCGTTGTCATGTCGGAATAACTAGCTGTCAAACCTCTATTTTGAAGGAATCGGAAAATAAAATGCTGTAAAAATATTTAAACACGTACAAACTGAGATTCACTAATTCCAGTGTTTGTGCGAACTCGCTGACTTTTACAGAAACAGCGGAGTAGCACCGATTCTGTAAATCCAGCTACGTAATATCCAGTCTCCAGCTACCGCTGCAGTCTTTATCGATTACTGTAGAGCGTTCGTGTTGTCTTGCTTTTTTTGAAATAGCTGATAGCTAGTATATACATTGTAATTTATAATGTCTCTTTTGTTAAAACTTGCTTAAGGTATCAAGACTTGTATATTAAAATCGCAGATTACTTTCAAGTTTAGGACATTCTTGTTGCGAACTATGAACGTTGACTAAATCCTCAGTTTCAACCTAGCCACGAATTGATTAAAATTGGTCTGATTTTGGAGCATGGCCTTGCTGACTGGTATTTGTCGAACCCAGGATATGAGATTGTATTAATGTCCACCAAAGATTATTATACTCATCAAGGTCGAGGGGCTTAAATCTAGAAACCAAATTGGTGCAATAAATAGAAAATTAACCATTTCAAAATATTGACCACCTAAGTGACAGTTCATTTTTGCTTCATATTTATGACTAAGACTGTTGCGAAGTTTTTAATTTGAATAGTAGGAAGCTAGGTATTTGGGCATCGAGTGATGTGAACGCGAAAACATCAATTATCAGTACGGTTGACTATCACGTACATTTTTATTATCTGTCACGATATGGGATAAATCCCAGATTGACAATGTTACATCTGGTGAGTTAGATTGTTTGCAAAGATGATGAAGAGGCCGCTGGACTCTAACCATTTATATACATTTGGACGCACGTGTTAGGTTTTATATCACGTGATAAATATACCCGTTCTGTTCCGTGACATTATCAGAGATACGCGAATGCGACAAAACTTACAGAACGTCGATAGTATGCAGCTGGAAGCAGAGGTATTTTTCTGATAAATGGTGGGCTAACCGACTTAACGTTAGCCGGCAATCACGAATTCTTTATCCTCCGATAGTTCCGGTAAAAAGGCTCAGTATGCTCTGCATTTTAACGATAGCCAAGAAGAATCTTATTCCGACCCAATTCGAAAGCAAATAAAAATGTATGCATAATCTACTTTCTCCCATCAATGTTGATCTTGTCATTCTCACGCGGGTGCTACCTTTATCATACTATATACCACCTCATCTAAACGACCGGTCAAGTATTTAACCCAACTGCGAACAGGAACTTGCCTCATCAACTAATAGCCACCCCCCGCTGCAAAATAACGATGTGAGGTAAACTTGCGAGCAAACTAGGTAATAATATTAAAAAATCGGGTCTTAACTCACGGAGGGCTGATGCTCTAGTAGAGCTCTACCTCTTTAGGGAGGATTAACAGCTCAGACGTGGAAAAAGAGAAAGAAGAGGACAATCATGAACATACTGGGTCTATTACCCTCAAGTGGCTTACTTTGAAATGATTTTGAGAAACATGCCCAGGATTTCGATTAATTAACCAGTACGAAAGGATTGCACCAGAATGAATAGCTGTTCGCACGAATGTTTCCAAAATGGGTTGATAGTGTGTCTAAGGAAGACAATCAGGATATGGGTGTGTTATATAATCATAGACTCATGCAGCACAATACACAGACCCAAAGTGCAGCTGACACTATAAAAACAAGCAAGCGAAGGAAGGTGTTTTGGTCCGCCTCCTGGTTATGTTCTCTGGTATAGTTTGAGTAGCCTGGGCGCCTTCTCCACTTGGGAAGGAGACACCTCAGATCACATATCGCGCGGAGAAAAGTTGAAAGATGATGGAGGCATGTCTGGATAACTCAGGGTTTTTGAGATGTTCCCCTGGGTGGGTATTCACGGATGAGGGTTGACTTGGGGTGAAGAAAAAGCCACCATAATTTCGCAGTGGTACTTGCAAATGAGATCCGAGCCTGAGTGATCCTCCTGTAAATTAAGTCATCTTTTCTGTACTTTTCTTTGATATTGTGTCATAGCTAGATAGCTGCATACGCAATTAAAATCTGATGCAAAAAAAAGAAAAACACATAGACCCACACCGAATTGTGGAACCATCCAAGGAAATTGTCTCGCTTATCGCTGATATAATCAAATCCTAGGATCCAGATTAACTCCGGGTCCCATCTACGGAGCGATAGTCTGTGACAAACAGGAAGGCATTTGTTGTCAACGAATCTACAGCACAACCTACAACCCCAGACGACACAATGAGGTAGGGCTTAATGTTGGAAATATCGCGCAATGAAATGGGCGCAATATTTATGGAACGAATGTAGAAGTTGACTAAAAGAGTGTCATGTTCGGATTACGGCTGAAAGTGTGGAAAGTGTGCGCTACAAGTATATGTTTAAGCGACACAGAGCCTAAGCCGCAGCATAAATGTGTGTGGCGCCATCTAGGTATAGAAAACCCACAATAACCTTCTTGTGCCCACGCCATAGAACCGCTCATATATCCAATAGGTAGCCTGAAGCGCTACCATAATACCTACTCTAACCTCTTAAATACACACAAGATCGTGTCGGGAACCTAGACGAAATGGAGGGCCCGTACGTCCACAACACTCTGTGTCTCCATTTCCAACACTTAACTACTTTACAGCTATCACGCCCTCTCGCCGGCAAAGACGAATTCTTCACCTTCCAGCGGTGCCGGTGTAATCGCTCAGTATGCTCTGCATATCTGGGATAGCCAAGAAGAATCGCATCCGAATCGAAGTCGAAAGCAAACACATGTATATCTCCATTTGACGACTTCTCAACCATGCAGCACTCATCATTATCTTCTGAGTCCTCAAACCCGATCTAACCACATATCATCTCGCCTCGCCGACCGATAAAGGCGTCACCCCAATTGCAAACAGGAGCTTGCTCCATTAATTTCCAGCCATCTCTCACTACATATTTACGACGCTATTTATACCCACAAGGAGGAAATCAAGTCGAAAAATACAAAGTTGGGGTCTTGGTTTATGGGGGACCGCTGCTCTAATGGGGTTATACTTGAGGAAGAACAAGCGGCTGAGATGTGGAGCGAGAGGGGAAAGGGGTTTCTGAAGACCATGCTGGGACTGAAATTTTTGAGGAGTTTTCAACTTTGGAATTTTTGTGGACGCCAAGACCAAGATTTCGGCTAATTAGCCAGGAGGGCCTCTATTGTCGATGAGTCAACGGCACTCCCCAGCGCCCTGGACGGCACGAAAGAAGTTGGGCTAAGCTACCATACAGCAATCACGCTCTGTCAAGACTTTTCTGACATTTCAGCACGACCTTCGGGAAGGAGTTGTAAGGAGGCTAGAAAGGCAGAGGGTGAATTTCCCGAGGTACCCACAAGTCTGCAGCGCCCAGCTGGCCGGCCTCTTCGAGCGCTTCAGAAGGGGCAAAATGTCTTCGGATTTATTCCTAATGTCGGTATTAGTAGAGCCCCGCACCCAGTGGTTTTTGCGAATTTTCCCGGCTGCCATACATCCGCAAATGGCCACCGTTTCGTTGGCTGGAGAGGCGAGATAATGAAGGGCTAAGGGCTCCCCTTAGTGTATGATCGAATAAGGACTTGTGAGGGGTGGTACTGTTTGAGGGGAGCTGTATGGGAGGCATAGGAGGGGATATACTACTGGTATAGGTATCCTTGGCCTGTAGGCAGAAAGGACCTGCATGTCCTACATAGTCATAGACTCAGACAGGACAATAAAATGAATTAATAATAATCACGCCCTATCGAGAGTTTTCTTAAATTTCGGCATGATCTCCTGAAAAGATTTATAGGTAGGCTAGGAAGTCACAGAATGAATTTCCTGAGGTACCCACGAGCCTTCAGCGCTCAGCAAACCCGTCCCTTCGATCTTTTAAGAAGATCCACTATGTCTTCGGATTTAGTACTTATGTTGAAATCAAGACAGCGCAATACCAAGTGGCTTTTACTACTTTCTCCAGCCGCCATAAAACAGAAAGTGACCATCGCTTCATTGGCTGGAGAAGTGAGATGATGAAGGGTAAAGTGGTCCTCCAACTATTTGGTCGAATAAGAAGATGTCAGTGGTAGTACTGTATGAATATGGGAGTAAAATATTCACGCAGATCCGAGATTCGGTAACAAACAAGGGCAATATGCTTTATGTTCGATGGATTATAGGCTTGAAGTAGTTGCACTCAATAATTTTGTCAAAATAATAGCCAACAAAATTTTCAAAACCGCAAGATAGTCAAACAAGACCTTATCACCTCCAATATCTAATTCGCAAATACACCTATGTATATAAGGGGTTTGTATTTAAACAACCGACATCTCGAAGACTCGTGTATTTACGACGAAGCATTTCCCAGTTCATTCTCCACCTGTGACCCACCTTTACCCTCGTCACACCGCCTACTTACATACGCCCTAATACGCCCTAATACGGAAATCTATGGTGAAAATAGGACGTCGAAAGAAGAAGGGAGGGGATGTAGATATATCAAGGGAATCACCTCGGTCACCAATAACATCAACATCCAAATGTCATGAAGTAAAGTCGTGATCTGAAAGATCGTGCGAAGTATACAAAATTTATTCTGATATCTCAAAATGTGATAACACAAGCATAACTACAACATGGAATAAGAGAATCT